ACCCGACCCGAACCCGACCCAAAAATTTCGGGTTCGGGTCAACCCGAACCCGAACCGGGTCGGGTTCGGGTTAGAGATTTCGACCCGTTTGTAAAACCGGGTCGGGTTCGGGTTGACCCGGAAACCCGAAATTGACCCGGTTTGACCCGTTTTTAATTAATTTTGGAGGATTTTAATGAATTTTTATGAAATAAGTAAATAATATTTCAAAAAATTATAAATATTATTGCCCAAATTAAATTAATCTTGATTTATTTTAAATTAATTGAAGTAAATCTACCCTTAATTTGATTTAAATTTAAATAAAATGAATTAAATAAAAAAATTTTAATTAAATATACCCGAAGCGGGTCGGGTCGGGTTGACCCGGACCCGAAGCGGGTCGGGTTCGGGTTCGGAAAACCGACCCGTTTGCAAAAACGGGTCGGGTCGGGTTGAACAGTGTCGGATCAATTTCGGGTTGGACCCGAACCCGACCCGTGACCCGTTTTTGACAGGTCTATCCGGACGTGTCCGGAGGTCAATCCGGACGAGTCACGTCACCCAATGCACAATGCATTGAATGACTTGGTGAGTCCGGATCGGCCTCCGAACGCGTTCGGTTCCGCACAGAATAATCTCTTCTGAAATAAGCATTACATGCCTACTACTCGTGGTCGCCAGGTGAACAAATAGTGGCCTGTTTTGACACTTCATATTTGTATTGAGAGCAACCATTTGGTTTTATGTTATTCTATATGACATAAGTAAGTATGTGCGTGCAGTTTGATCACTTGGTCCACACCAAGGGCATCACAAATCTATTTACATGAGGATATGATGAGAATCTAGGTTGTTAAAACAAAACATTGCATTAAAAAAAATTATTCAATGTTTAATGATTTAATTAGGAATGAATCTGAGATTGAATCGGGACATGTAATAAATATTAAAATTATTTAAATAAGATATAAAAACATAATAATAATGATATAATAAATATGCACCTTGAATAAAACGGGATCGTCTGATTTAATGTCTCTATAATTTTAAATTTAAACATCTTCAATTTTTAAATTTAATTTACATGTAATATTGATGCATAACCAAAAATCACCTTGAATAAGCATGAATCTCGAAGCATATATGAGTTGATAACTTCCTAAATTAAAATGGGATCGTCTGAACTCTAATTTAAGCAAGCTTATAGTCAAATGAACGTCTTAATGAGACAAATCCAATGACATCAAAATTAGTCCTATATGAGCCCAATTGGGTTCAAATCAAGGGGCTGAAGCATATTTGGAAGGTTTAAAGTATTAATTGGATGACTAAATAATCTCTAAATATGACATGCTTATAGTAAAATCAAGTGGCCTGACAAGACAAATCCAATGAGTCTAAGATCGCTTAATTATGACATTATGAAGATACTTAAATGTTGCACAAATGCTCTATGATTGAAGGAATTGAAATGGTCGTCCGATAGAGCACTCTAAATTTGCCCTTGATCTTATTCATATTTACGGAGCATGACACTCTCAAAAATCTATAACTAGACCCCACTTCCCACATGAAAAGCAAGTTTGGACCTTGAGCTAGAAATCAATCAAGGTATAAGGCTTGAAGAATCACAGAGCTCCACCACAGTACCACCCCCGGTGAATCCTCACCGCCCTGACCACCACTGATGAACTTCCTCCCTACCATCGTCATCAAACCTCCGTCCAAATACCACCGTCGGGTAGGTATCCCTCTGACCACCGTCGACCAACTATGGTCTCTCCAATTTCTATCATCTAACTATGATCCTATTAATGAAACGAACAAACCAACATTTTCTTGATAATAACTCTATGTTCCAACCCCAACTATGTAATGTGCTCTATATTTTCTAATTGAGCCAATGTCTCCCTCAAAGAAGGACATCATTTGTAATCAATAATAAATACTAGTGAATTCATTTCAACTAGGTCAAAAACTGTGACTTTTATCCAATTTTTTGGATTTTCACGTCAAAATTATGTCATATTACGATTATTACATCATTCTCTCTTTATCTCTACGTGTATAGGATCTTCTTAGCGGTTTATCTCTCTACTACTACAAATGTCCATATTAATATTCTAATAATGTATTCATGTGCATATAAGTCAAATTCCTTTCGATGAGATTAATATTAATATCACTTTTAATGTGTTTTCCACCTTTAACAAAATTTAACTCGTAATATTTAGCCAGATTTTTTTTCGGTTTTGAATTAAAATAACTAAAATACAAATTTTATTTTATTAACATATTATCACTGATTTTAATATTAATAATAATTATAAATTAATATCTCACATCTACGTCAAGATGTCCCTATTCCTTTTTTTCTTTTCTTTTCTAGAATATTCCTCATGAGGGGCCCACTTGACTATACAATTACCATACGTCATCATGCATGATAATGACACATATTACAAACTTTAGGGTTAAAAAATATTAAAAAAATATCGTAAAGCTTCCTCACATAATCTCTCTCACAGTCATCAAATCGTAAGACAAAAGCATCATCATTAGCCGCTAATTATCTAATTAAGCTTAATATGAACAATCATCACTAAACGCTAAGATTTTTTTTTTAAAAATTTTTATGAATATGGAATTAGTAAGAAATAATGGATGGTATTTTGTATTTCATGTCAAAGAAAATTCATTGGTATCAATCAATTATAAATTTTAGCATAAATATTTTTATGGTCTCAAAAGAATTTAATTAATGAGCTAAAATTTTATAAAAATTTATTTGGGGATATTCTAATATACGATTTTTTTTGTGTGTTTATAATTAAAATTATTAACTCTTCGATATGGTTATATGACAAAAACTATATATTTTATGAGCTTGAAATAATCATCCTCATTCCTCAACTAGTAATCCTCATGCAACATGCTTATGTGGTGGCGATCGAAGTTGATGCCCCCTCCAAAAAAAAGTATGTCGCAACTAGCAGTGCCACCATGCCCTCGAATCATTGCGAAATGGCCTGATTTGTGCACAGTTTGGTCGACTAAATTTGAATATCCTAAAAATTTTCGCAACATTTCTAGGTTATTGACTCATAATTTGTTGGAATATTGAATTGCTCTTAAGGAGATAAATATTTCGCCTAAAAAAAGATCATATCGTTGTTGTTTTTTAATGACACTAAATTTTCCCTTATTATTCTTTAAAATTATTGCAACTCCTAAAAAACTCCAATTAATGAGTTGTTTATAACATTGAATTACTTTTGAGGAGATTAATAAACTGATGCCAAAATTTGACTAGCCCAAGGCAATACATCTAGTCACTTTTTTTAAAACATTGAGGGTGTGATTTGGTAAATTTATTATTGATATGAACTAGGCATTTTTATGATATCATCCAAGTAAATATCATAATAACCCCCTAAAATCAATAAATAACAAATGTTCATATGCATTTTAGAAAATTTAAACCATCTAAACTCTAAAATCATTTTAATTTTTTTTTTCTTAGTATGCTTCTTGATGTTCGGGTGTCATATATGATATTATTTTAGACTACGTTTGGGACGTTTTTCTTACTGGTCCTTAAACTAGCTTTTCAGCACAAAAGTTTAAATTTTTCTACTGAAAAGCTGCTTTAAGAAGCAGTAAGAAAGCCGTCCTAAACAAAGTCTCAGTCTTCCTCATTTTGCTAACTCTCTTTGAGTGCCATATGTCAGTCATTCAATCTATTAGTTTCTAAGAGAATCACATTATCACCACAGTTTAATGTTTGATATTAGCCATTATCCTCTTTTGTCGCTTGTCATCACCTAATATATGCACCTACCATTCAATGTCCATTATACTTTGACACCCACCACCGCCTAATATTTATTGCTTACGTCCTGCAACATCCACCACCATCATAGTATGATATTTGATGCTTTGTCATTATATGATGTTAGATGACACCTTATACTAAATGTTAGTTAAAGACCATCAATAACTAACAATGACAATCACTTTATCAATTGATTTGTCCTCCTCGTTTCATGAAACAATCAACATTTGATTTATCATCATCATCAACACCAACACCTCAATATTTTATTCCTTGTTACATTATACAAAACCTTCTTTAACCTTCTTTATTTTGGTAGGTATTTAAGTATTTTCATTATATAGATGACTTTTCTAGATTTATGATAAAAACTCTCCTTATAACAACATATAATGTAATTAATTAACTAAGATTTTTAATGGGATATGGCCTCCTAGTTTTCTCCTTCACAAGTTTTAATATAAAAAATTGCGTTCATTATTTTTTATGCTTTGTTTTGTTTGCATGAATATTCACTAAAACCTGTTGAATAATCTTTTCTTTTTCTTGATATAGATGTAATAGTTTAATGTCATTTAAATGAAACATTAACACATTTGGTAATTAGTAAGAATGAAATTCAATGATTGTGCATGCGCCAAAAAATCGGGTCGGGTTGATTCAGAAACTTAGAAATGACCCGGCTGTCTGATATGCCCACATTGCATCGAGTCGCTGCCCGTGTCACATCACCTGCCCGCACGAAGTCGCTGCCTGCGCGTAGTCGCTGCCATTTTATGCTGCTTTTGTACCTCGTCGCTGTGAAAGCCGTTTTTTTTCCTTCCAGGATCGTCCGGGACGATCAGTACAAAATCTGTAGGCCGGCAAAGAGGTTCATCCCTGGACGAAGTTTGGTTCGTCCGTACGAAGGTTGTCCAGAGAGCAAGTCGTCTATGAACGAATACACATCCTCAGAACGAAACTTGTCCATAGGGCAAATCGTCCCCAATTTGAATTTGTATATATTGGATTGAGATATTTTTGAAGAGAGGGAAAGGCCATGAGAGAGAAAAATGAAGGAAAAAGGAAGAAAAGTGATTTTTGGGCGACTTCGGTCCGTTTTCGTCCGTCGCCGTAGTTGAAAAAGTTGACCGACTCGAGGTAAGGCACATTCCGCCTTTCTCGATTTTCAGAAATGTGGATTTTGACGACTTTTCTGTTTCAAATTTTGTTTCCGTTAGCCAAAATATGGTATTATTTTGTACTGGTGAATATTTTACTGTGTAACTTTTGGTATATTTATGAGACGATGTTTTTGCACGTTTTAAGTATTTTCTGGAAGATTTTCACCGGTTATTTTGAATTTTGCGTTATTTTAAGTGAATTATGAATTATCTGGATGTTGAAAAATGTTTCGTCAGTACAATGAAAGTTTTAAAATGATGTTTTATATTATATGTAGTAAATTGGTAAATTTCTGAATTCGTGAATTCTGTGAAATTTCCGTATACCGCCATTATGCCGTTGACGATTTTTCTGACGAAATCTGATTTTCTGAATTGGATGATTTGATGTGTTTGTATGCTATCAGAAGGGAGTTATAAGGGGTCAGAATCCTTAGAGATTCTGTCTGTGTCAGAAAAATCTGAAAAGCAATTCTGATATGAAAATTTTGTATATCTGACAAGTTCTGGTGCTGTAAGAACAAGGGATGCATAAGGGGTCAGAATTCGTTGAGATTCTGTCCGTGTCAGGAAAGGGAGGCATAAGGGGGCAGAATCCGTTGAGATTCTGTCTGTGTTAGAGAAGGGAGGCATAAGGGGCAAAAATCCGTTGAGATTCTGTCAGGATGAGGGATATGTGATATGTGACATGTTATCTTATCTGTGATGAAATCTGATTTGAATGTTTTTTTGAAATCTGTTCTGATCTTTGATTTGTACAATTTTGTGATATGTGATTAATCTGATTGAATAATTCTATTGTGTGAAATGAATTCAGTTCTTCTGTATCAGTTATTTGATTTTTGTTCGATATCTGTTCTGTATGCATTTCTGTGTTATGTCCGATTTCTATACGATTATCTGAATTTTGTACGTCTACTCTTCTGATGTATTTTCTGATGTGTGTTTATGGAGATTTTGATTGGCTAGTGTAGTCTTGCGGAGCTGTTAGCTCATCCTTGTTATCTGTGTGATTTTTATGTTCTGGGAAAGAGAAGGAAGTCTTGGACTAGCCGTTCAGTGTCTGATCTTTAATTAGGTATTTTGTACTTTTGATTTTTGTATAGTCATGACTTTTCTGTTATGTCTTTCTATCTGTAGCAATGCATTGTATTTTACATGATTATTTGATGAAAGAAGAAAATATAGATGAATTGTTATGTATATTTAATGTTTATAGTAGCTCTGTGTTTTTGTAAGTTTGATATTTGGAAGAAAGTTTGAAGCAAATTCCAAAGCTAGATCATAGATTTCAATTTTGGCGCGGCCCGACGCGAAAGGATTCGTTCTGGTCGGGTTGGGTCGTGACAGCCGCTAACCGCGATGCAGTTGCTGGACCTCGCTCTTCCCGCGTGTCGCCGGCTGGCCACGTTGCATCACGTTGCTAGTGACCATGTTGCCGTGTCGCATCACCTGCCACTATCGTTGCCGTTGCCGATGTCGCACTTGTCGTTGTCGAACTTGAAGCGGGTCAGGTTCGAGTCCAAAAAACCGACTCGTTTGTAAAAACGGATCTGGTTCGGGTTGATCCGAATAGTTCTGGGTCAATTTTGGATTCAACCCGAACTCAATGCATGATCCGAAATTGACACCCCTATTTATTCATCATCTATTTATATAATAATGTTATCATCAAAATTTGATATAAAAAGAAAGCTATTTCCTAAATATATTTTTTATCCTTAACAATTCTACTGGTAAAAAATATTTGAAAGTGGACAACTTAATTTATAAAAAGATTTTTGGTGGAATATATATATATATATATATATATATATATATATATATATATATATATTCTCTTATATTTTTCTTCAGCACTGCCAATGTAGTCCGCGAGTTCTGCACGTACCTCTATTTTACTAATCAACAAATATTAAAAAATAAATTAACAGAAAGCATCGATTCCCCGCGACCATTAAAATGCGGGCGCCCCCACCTCACCAACTCGTTTTCCTCTTTGTTCCACTACATCTATGCGGCTGTCCGCACACAAAGTTGTCCATTGAATGACCGCTTACTTTTCCCGTAATGAGAACTCGTCTTCGTCTCGCCCAAAGAATCTGGACTGATCGAAACCCGCACGAAAGAATTCTAAAATAGTTATCTCAGATGGAAAAAGAAGAATCAAGTAGGTGAAGCGAGATCGAGGCGATCTGATCGCGAGCTTTTAAAAGGACGAGGCGGTAATCGAACCTGATACACTTCAACTTTTACTCTTGTACGTTCACACTTACTCTCTCTTGGGTCGAAGAAGCCATCTGCGTTCTTTTACTGTCGCCGTTCGCTATCAGAACCCACTCGAAGGTGTCTATAAATCAATCATTTTCCTTTATCATCTCATTCAACTTATCGGTTGCGAAAACCTAATAGGTTTTATTTATCATTTGTTGCTGTGGAATTCAATCGAGGAGTGCCTGATTTATTTTTGGTGTTGTTCAGAGACTGGAAACTGCAAAGAGAAACAGGATCCATGGAGGGAAGTGGCGCAGGAAATGGTTTGGGGTGCAGCAAGGTGATAGAGTTGAATGGAAGCAGGAAGAAGGTTGAGAAACCCATTCCGTCTTGCTGCAGGAAGGGGATGGCTGCGCTGCCTGAGGCTGAAGCGAAGCTGCATGCTACGGTGGTATCGGGGTGGTTCTCTGGACATCGGTGCAGCTCTGGTCAATATCTGATTACTTTGGTTGTTTTAGACTTTCAGTTGCCTTCTGTATAAAGTTGATTATAATCTTCACACGTCATTATTAAATTGATTGCAGATAAGAACAGCCGGCCTCTTTATTACAACAATCCAATGTGGCCTGGTAAGCTTTTGTTAAAAAATGAACCACATGTGCTGTTGTCTTTTGTTTGACGGTACACGTTCAATGCCCCTAACTGTTTAGCCGATTCTGGATTGCGTGATGTTTGGTATTTTGCCTTTTAGTTGGGCAGCTTCTGTGATTCTTTAAATGAGAACTGAAGTTGGTTACTAAGCATTTTTAGCTAGTTCTTTCTGGTTGTGGTTAGGAGACTAAAGAATTTATTGGCTTATTAAACGTCTTAATATTATTTTGAAGACTTAAATATGCCAAAGTGGAGAAAGAGTGTGTTGGTTCCTATTTTCGAGAATAATGGTGATGCACAAGAGTGTGAGAATTATAGATGAATTAAGTTAATGTGTTATGCATTAAAATTATGGGAGAGATTAATTGAGCATATGTTATGACGTGATACTAACATTTCTCAAAATCAGATTGGATTCATGCTGAGTAGGTTACATTTGTTGAGAGATTTGAGGGAGAAATATAGAGAATGTAAGAAGCGTCTATATATGATATTTGCTAATTTAGAGAAAACATATAATAATGTTCTAAAAGAAGTGTTTTGGAGATTTTTAGGAAAAAAAGAAGTTAACAATGTTTATATTCAAGTCATTAAGGATATGTTATAAAAGAGTTGTTATTTGTGTTCGAACACATGATAGTTTGACCAAGTATTTTTCTATATCAGTTGGATTACATCAAGGATCAACTTTAAGCTCATATCTTTTTGCTTTAGTCATAGATGTTGTTACTATATATTTGCAAGATGTATCTTGGTGTGTGCCTTTTGCTGATGATATTATAAAACTAGAGGAGTTGAAGAAAAACTTGAATTATGGAGGTCAACCTTATAGTTTAAAGTTTTACGTTTGAGTAGAGCTAAAGTTGAATACATGGAGTGTAATTTTAATAGTAATAGATCAAGTGGTGGGATCATGATGTTGTGTGACGAAGTCATTAAAAAGAGTGCATGCTTTAGATATCTCGTGTTTATTGTTCAGAGCAATCGTGAAATAGATGAGTATAGTATTACTGGAATTCAAGTTGGATGGTTGAAGTGGAGGAATTTATTGGGCCTGTTGTGTGATAAAAAATTACCCCTCAAACTCAAAGAAAAATTCTATACGATGGTGGTGGTACATGCAATGTTTTATGACAAAAAATGTTGGCCATTCAAAGAAAAACATAAAATTAAGTAAGTGTTGCAAATATGAGGATGCTTAAGTGGATAAAATGTGAGGTGAGTATATATGTGAAAAAATTGGAGTAGCTCTAGTGGCAGATAAGATTAGAGAGAGTCTCCTTATATGTTTTAATCACGTCAAATGTTGGCCTTCTGATGTTTCGACTAGGAGAGCAGATATATTAAAGACAGCCTATGTTAAGAAAGGTAGAGGTAGACCCAAAAAGACTTGGCTAGAAAGTATTAAAAATGATATTTTTTTTAATTAGATTCAAATAATAATTTGATTCTTAATATTACAAAATGGAGAACTAGCCAACCCCACATAGTGGGATAAAGGCTTATTGTTGTTTTTATCTTTCTAGTTGTGGTTAGACATTGCAAATGAGCAAGTTATATTAAAATTGAAATGTAGATATAAAATTTATTCCACTTTGTGCGATAAGCAATAAGAGCAAATTTGGTGTCGTGGGTGTGGGATTCTGATAGGAAATACTTGATTTCAAGTATCTCCTAGCCAAATCTGAAGTAAAACAAGAAGGAAACTGCTGTTTTCAGCAGAGGACAGCAGCCACACACAAGAAAATAGCGAGAAATTGCGAGAAAACTGAGAGAAAACTCAAGGGAAAGCTTGTATTTCACTAGTAGATGAATAAAAACAACAAGATACAATTGATCCTCAATTCGAGAGGAGGATCGATCTCTCCCAAATCTCTAGACGCCGCTAGAGCCCAAAGAAAACCTAAATCTACGAGATCTCAAATTTCAGCCAAATTCAAGATGCCCAAACCCTAGGAAAACAAACTATTTAATGCATACAAATCAAAAGGAAATCCCTAAACAGTCCCTACATTCAAATTTCCCTCAAAAAAGCTTCCTATAAAGCTCCCGTGGATCATGCGTGCGTGCGGCGCTTCCGCCCAGGCGATCCACTGGACCGGTCCACTGGACCGGTCCACTGGACCGGTCTAACAGATTCTTATGGCAGAATTCCCAAGTTTTAACTTGAATAATCCACAACTGAATCTCATGTTCACTTCTGTGTTTAAACCTAATCCCCTCTCAGTACTGCAATGAATTCCAGGCTGCTAAAAAAAAAATCCAGGCTTCTTAAGGAAACCCATTTATCTTATTTTTTCTACATGCATATTCAAGTCTTGTTTGCTACTATTTCTAATACATCCAAGGGGAATTAGGCATATTGATGAATCCACTCGATACCATTACCTTAGTTTACAGCAATGAAGCAACCTAACACTGAATTTAATTCAAGAAAGATTAAAAAACCGCAAGTATATTGAAAGGATTGGGAAATCAGCTCCCATCCTAAAAAAAAAAACCCTTGTTAGGATGTTCTTGTGAGGGAGAAATTAATCCATGAAAGCAATCATATCTCACATAAAGGGGATTTAAAGCCAGTGTCTAGCACACTTATTATTTGTAGTAACCACATCACTAACTGATGAAATTCTAATCATATCATATATGAATGAGAGATTTGAAGCCAAATTATCAAGACACTTCAACAAATCAAATCTCCAATCCATTCCTAACCCTTGAAATTCTTATCCCCATGTTGGATGAACTTATTCTGATAAGCTGGTAGAGAAATTTACTTTTGCTAATCAAGGCCCGAATCTGTTGTAGCGATTTACAGATTATAAGTTATTCTTGTGATCTTGAATTTATGCAGAGCCATTTATCTTACTTTTTTTTTGCTTTCTACTTGAATCAATGGGGCTTTCTACTAAGTTTTATGTGCTGCCGTAGCTTCCGTTGAATGTAATGAAATAGTTTGTGATGGACCTTGAGTTGTAATTTTCGGAATCCAAGCAAAACAGCCCTAGCTTCCGTTGAATGTAATGAAATAGTTTGATGGTATTCTTCTCAAGTTTTGCCTGCCGTAGCTTCCATTAATGAGACCATTAGTGCAACATATATTAAACTAGATTTTGTTTTCTTGAGTTTTCATCTATACCACTCAAATTATTAAAAAAAAAAAAAGTCTTTCAAAGCCATAACTGGTTGTTTTTAATTATTACTGCTATAAACCCATTTTATTATTTGGTTTCTTCTGGTACTTATGTTTCTACCACAAGTAGACAATGAAGTTTAGGTAGTTTGAAAGTGCAATATCTGATTTATTTTTTAATGTATTGAATTGCTCCTTGTCAGGTGAAGCACATTCCTTGAAGGTGGAAGAAATTTTATATGAAGGGAAGTCAAAATATCAAGAGATACTAGTTTTTAAGGTTTGTAGATGTACCTTTTTGTACATGCTTTCTCCCTGATTCATGCACTTTTTCTTTTCTGTTGGCATATACTGCTCACTTGTCTGTTCTACAGTCCTTAATATACGGAAAGGTGCTTGTGCTCGATGGCATTGTCCAACTCACGGAAAAAGATGAAAGTGCGTACCAGGAGATGATTGCCCACCTTCCTCTTTGTTCAGTTTTATCCCCAAAAACTGTAAGCAATTTGTTTCAGAACATAATTATTTATTTGTTGGATTGTTAATATTCACTTTTAAGCGCTTCACTTTCATTACACTTCTTTTGCTTGTAGAATACCACCAATTAAAATTCAATGCTCTGCCTTTTGTTTTTAAACTAACTAGTTTTTTAGATTTGTTACTTAGGCTTCATTTGGTTGGGCGATTTTACTACTTGTTCTTTTTTCAAACAGCAAAATTAATTTTATTTCATGTTTGGTGGAACCACTTTCGCTATATCACGTTCAGCACAACGCCATTTTCGATTGATACGCGACATCTATTCCCCATCTGATGCGGACATCGGTACGAAGATTTGACGCATCTATCACAGGAGGCGTCGCTAATCGATGGCTATAATTTAAATCTCCAATTATGAGTTATTTTTTTTTTTTTTGAATTTTAGCTCTTTTTTATGTATTTCCTGTTTTACCCCTAGGTTGGTTTATGTGAGTGTTGTGGCCCAAGGGACAATTATGTATTTTGAGTTTTCTTATGTTGTGGCCTATATATATGGCCTTAAGCTATTGTAATGAGGAGGGATTATTGATATTAAAAATTTGTGTTCAACAATTGTGCTCTTGTGAGAGGACGATAGTGAGATTTCTATGGGAGGAATCAAAGTTTTCACCAGCCGCAGGATGGGTTCGGGCTCGTGAATTGAAGTCCCTTAGAGAAGGGTGAAGCATCACCCGTCAGTCTTCGGAAGAGTCCAAGGCTCGCGGTTTTTATCCTGTATCTTTCATTTTTATCTCTTCTTTGTTTTGTTTCGTTCCTTCTTATTGTTCCTAGCCGTCGTCGTCATCCTCTACCTACGTCCCCCATCTTCGTCTCCTTTTCCACCATAAGCCGCCGGCCACCTCACCAGAAGAGTCTCCCAACCGCCGGCCATGGCTCTCTAGCCGCCGGCTTCACCCATCCCTCTTCCTTCTTGAGTTTCCTAATTTGGGGTAAATGACATTTGGACTTAATTTGAAATTCAAATTATCTAAATTTGAAATTCAAAATTTATTTCCTAATTAAAGTTCGCATATTTTAGGAAAGAATTTAATTTAAATCAATTTTGAATATCAATTTGAATTTGACATTCAAATTGGATTTATTTCATTTACTTTCTTAACTCCTAAAATCAAGTTTAGAAGCCCTCAATCACAACATTCAATGCTCCCCTTATTCATGCAAGCTGCCAAACAGGGAATTACATACCCCTTAATATAGTATCTGTGAAATAATAAAGTATATGTTCTTCATCTAAGCTAACATAAATGCCACCTAATTACATACCCCCAACATCTGACAACTCTCACTTTTAGTTTAGAAGGTTTTTCATCATTGCTTGAGATGTCATAGCTATACCCTTTACCTTAATTCATCAAACGTACAGATAAATTGATTAAACATTAGATATTCAGATTTAGCAACGTCCCACAAGGCCGTTACCCACAACAACTAAGCAACGGGTGAGAGGCCAGCAGATTTACGACAGTCATATGGTCCACTGGTCAACAAAGGTTAACCTACCTTTGGCTTTGTTGATCAAAATATTATGGAAGAGATTTTAGATAATTAATTCAATTAATTCAAATCACCAATTGAGTTTAAGGTAGAAGAAAATATCATAGAGATATCTTAAGCTATCGATCGGTGAATAAGAGTGGTTAATAATGATAAGGTTTTGTTAAAAAAAAAACTAATTCTTTTAAAATGCATCATAGAATATTGGTCTTAGAATGATATTATGTATGAGAGGAAAGTTCATAAAATAAAAATAAATAAATAAAGAGGTACACCCAAAAATATGCATACTTGTCAAGGCCGCTATCAGAGGATCCATGAATTAATTTGAAGTCTTACCTTTAAATAAAGAATTTTTAAAATTCACATGGCTGTATATGGATCTCATCTAACTAGATAATCACAGATAAAAGTATTAGACATATGCAAACAATTTCTTAGAATTCTTATTAGAGAGCTTTGTACTAGTTGTATATGATACTCACTTCTAAATGTAATAATTAAAATTTAGATTATTTCCTCTTATTTTGGTAAGATATAGATCATTAATATGTTTTGATGAATATTTTTCTTAAGTGAGCTTACAAAAAATGTTTACTTGCTATAATTGATGTTGATGTTAATAATTATTTATGCATAATATCTATTAATTTTTTAAATTTTCAAATTAAAAAAAGATAGAGGTAGTTCTTATAATATTTAAACATTAAACTTAGGTGTTTCATATGATATAAGCCTATTATTACAAATAATTTTATTGGTTAAAAGTAGGAAACTAGGTCAGTTGCAAACTCATAAACCCCTCATAAGGAGTAGCATAAAGTTGGGTGCGTATATTAAATACCTAAATCCCCCCCCTCACTGGATCTTACCAAAATCTGTCCAGATTTCTTTATTTCTCTTTGGGAAGATTTGGGATTTGAACATATTGCTGGCCAGCACAACTTAACTCCCTATCCCTCCATGTGAAATCTGGAATCAAACTTATTTCCTTAAGTGAAATCTTTCTTTTGGAAATATTTCAAACTCCCTCAATCTCCTCATAACCGAAATTTTTCCCAAGCTCTAATTTATTTCCTAATACTAGAGAAGAGATTTAGGAAATAAGAGCCCGCCCCTCTCAATCCCGTGAGCTTAATTTGGACTTAATCTGAAGACCTCCTCTCCCCTTGCCGAAATTAATTCCAACCTATGCTAGCCGAATTAATCCAAGCTCTGTACGTTGGTTTTCTCCACCAAATCCTTCTCAAAACTCCTCCCACATGGAACTTTCTACCTACTAATACTGCAGCCAAAGTTTTCCCACCCCTACTCTCACGTCTCCAGCAATAAGAAGCCTAATAGTTGCTGTTTTTACCACAGCAAATTGCTGTCCAGCAATTCCTGCTTTTCTCAAGAGAAAATCTGAGATTCTTCTCAGGTTCTGGGCAAAGAAATCAAAATATCTTTTAGATTTTGGAGAGAAGATCCTATCCACAGCAAAGCCGTTTTTCCCGTTCTACATCACCATCTCCTTTCCTTCGGCGGTCCGCGTTCATCCAGAGTGAAAAGTCTGACATACCCCTGCACGTCTGTATGATGCTTTATCACTTCAACTCATCTTCTTCGGCCGAAATCCTTCAACCGTTGCACCAAAATATTCAAAGAAAATTTTTCATCTCCATCTCTCTTCGAACAAAAGCCCTGATCTTGTAATTCATCCAAAGTCGTCCCTTTTTTTCCCAATTCTTTCTGTCAACATGAAGAAGAGCAGGAAGCGGTCCACTCAGAAGCAGGAGACGAAACAAACGTAGCTCCTAGCTCCCTTCGGCATTCAGGCACGAAGCTCTCTCAGCCAGCGATCTTCTCTTCCACAAGCAAGGGCAGCAGTTGGTAGATCTTCCTTCACTCACAGTAGAAGTGGTCACGCTTCAATTTGTTGAATCGTCGACTTTCTTGATTGATTCTTCCTGCTATATGAGTTGTGAAATTTACAGGAACTATTTCTCAAAGCTTAACCAATTAACAGTGGCCATCATGATCATTATCTAAACGTTATAAAGGATTTTTCAAGAAAAATTTTCTTGCAATTTGTTTACCGTTAAAATGTACATGTTATTCCATTGTTAAATGTTCAAAATTTGGTTGGCATAATTATTTTTATTACTCAAATAAAAAAAATATATTACTTAATTTAATTTATTTATGCAATAGCTTCTATTTCATATCTTAAAAAATCAAATGTAAGGAATTTTTGTTGTACCAAAAATTTTATGTATATTTTCATTTATGTACGTAGTAAAAAAAATTAATTATATTTATGTTTAATATATGGATGATTTTGTCTTTTATGATGAAAAAGTTGAAATTATTAATTGTACCAAATGCTTATTATCTATTTCAAAATTTTAATAAGCACACAAAAAGCAATTTAACCAAACAATATTATGTAATAACTCCATTATATAGAACGTTATTTTTAAAACTCCATTTTCTTCACAACTGCTTTAAAATAAACTTTTTCTAGAACATTGACCAACCAAATGAGCCCTTATATTATATGGTTGAAGGTCATTTAAGTCGCTAAATTACTACCATATTGGTTCTGTGGTATGTTAAAATACACATATTGTGAGCTTCTGTCAAAACTTAAAAAAAAACCATATGATCTAAATTTATGTCAATGAATCCTATGACTACTGAAAATGTGTGTTGAGAAAAGAAATTTGCATCTTATTGACTTTTGGGAGGTCACAAAAATAGTCATACATGAGAATATGTTTATTTTTTGTTTTATTTAGTGACTATGTTTGATATAACCAAGATGCAATATCGAAGAATTTACTTCTTTCTTTCAATAGAGCCAAGCATGATCAACATTAGAGACTGCGTTAATGTTAAATCCTCAAATTTAACATATATCAATTATTTTCCTAAAGAACTTTATATATATAAGGATTTGAAGAACAACCTTCGCTTCTTTTTTTAAATGCATGCATTGATTACCACTCCAACAATGAACGAGATGTTAGTTTTTGTAACTATATGATGAGATAGATCAACTGTTCAATTAATCTGCAATATTGAGATTGATCATGAAGACATCATTGGAGGTGTGACCCTCCATAGTGCATCAATAGGATTACAACCAAGGGTCTGTTTCTTTGAAAAAGTTCAATAACATATTTTATTCAAGAAAGAGACATTCCTTTTCTTACTGTAGGCCAACTCAGTTCCAAGGAAGAACTTGGGTTATTCTACTAGATCTTTAGTGACAAATTGCTTTTGCAAATGAATTCTTTCTTGAGCCTTCAATAATCGTCAACATAAACGACTAGTATGATTGATCCTGGAGGAGTATGTTTGATGAATATAGAGTGATCTATAGTGCTGCTTCAAAGTTCAATCTCATCTAGGGCTTTGCCCCGTTTGTAAAACCACACACGTGGAATCTATTTAAGCCATAAATATCCTTCCCGAGAAG